CTTCACCAGGTTAGGGAAGTTTTCTGTCATTTCTTTAAACAGACTACTCCTTGCTCACTGTCTTCTCCTTTTTGTACCCCTAGGATGCGGATGTTGTTACATTTCATATTGTCCCAACGTATCCTTAAACTATCCCGCTTTTTAATTATTTTCTTTTTTGCTGCTCTCATTGGTTGTTGTTGTTTTTTCTATCTTATCTTCCAAGTCACTGATTTAATCCTCTGCTTCATTTAATCTATTTTTAATTCCTTCCAGTGTATTCTTGATGTCTGATATAGTAATCTTAATTTCCCACTGGTTCCTGTTCATAGTTTCTATTTTCTTTTTTTTTTCTTTACTGATTTTAGGGAGAGAGATAGAGACATCGATGAGAGAGAACATCGATTGGCCACCTCCTGCATGTCCCCCACTGGGGATCTGGCCCACAACCTGGACATGTTCCCTGACTGGGAATCAAACCAGCAACCTCTTGGTACATGGGTCAATGCTCTACCACTGAGCCACACCGACTGGGCTCTGTTTTCTTTTTCATGCTTTTGTAGTTGACACTATGTTCCCTATAATTCTCACTAAGTTCCTTGAGCATCCTTATAACCAATGTTTTGAACTCTATATCTAATAAATTGCTTGTTTCCATTTCATTTAGCTCTTTTTCTGGAATTTCTCCTTTTCTTTCATTTGGGGGTTGTTTCTTTGTCTCCCCACTTTAGCTGTCTCTTTGTGTTTGTTTCCATGTATCAGAACTGCTATCTGATGGGGTGACCTTATGTAGTAAGGGTCCTGTGGAATCCAGGGGCACTGTCTACTTTTTCTCCTGAGCTGAATGTTCTAGGAATGTTCCTTGTGTGGATTATTGAACCCACCTGTTGTAATTGGGTCTTGATTGCTATTAGCCTATTCATGTGTGGGATCAACCCTCAGTAGCTGACTTTGAAACTCAACTCCAACTATGTTATACAAGTTATTGTATAGGAGCAGTCTCGACATGGCTTCTGTAGTCCTTGGTTAAAAGTCTCCTCTTCAGATAGTCTCCAGTTACTATTTCAGGGTAAATGTTCCCCAGCTAAGTGGTAACTTCCAGTTTGGTCCTGGGAGTCATTGTGAGCAAGATCCCCCTACTCCGCTGCCATCTTCATAAAAGCCAGGATGTGGACCTGTCCATGAGCTTTCTATTAAATGCCTCTGAGATCCATTTCCTTGTGTTGTCAAGGTCCAAGCTTGAAACCAGACAGGGAATCAAGACCTAGCTGGCTGCAGCTTGCTGGGCTCCCATCCTGCTGGTGTACCTCCACATCACGCTGCCTGCTGTCAACACTGCTTCTTCTGCCTCTGGTTCCCATAACAGCCACTAGTCAATAGCTGATGTAGTACAAAGTTTCTTCATGAAAGTGTCTGCTCCCCAGCATCAGAAGAAAGTTTTAGACTCTTTTGCATTCAGGTTGATTTGCACGAAGATTCCTCTTGCCAGAGAGATCAGTATAGCTCTTCCCTGTTCAACCTCATAATGTAAATTTTTTAAATTGTCTCTGTCTTGGACATCCCAAATTTCCCTACAGTTTGTGTAGGTATGGGTTTCCCATATCATTCTTCTTCGATGCTCCATGGGCCCTTTATTCTGAGGTCTTTTGTTTGTTCATTCATCTATCCATTCATTTATGGGAAATTTAACACTATCATTTCTTTAAGTCACCCATCTATTTTTCCTTCTGTTCTTTTGGGAATTTCAAGTATCTGTATGTTTCTACCTCTGTTTCCCATATCACTTGGTATTTCCTTTTTCCATTTCTCTGAACTTCCCTCCACCTCCTGGGAGATTACCTCAATCTGGTCCTTGTCCCTTCTGCTGTCTTATCCTATCTCTCTTGTTCTTTATATCAATTATTATATATTTCATGTGTAATGTGTCCACTTGGTTACTTTTTGTTTCTTTTTTAATATAGCTAACATTATCCCTTATCTTTTAAAATATGTTTATTAGGCCATTTTAAACATTTTAACCCATTCTAATATTTATGCTTTTGATGGAATCTATAATCTATTCTTTTTTTTTCTTTTTTTAGTCTTTTGAAATCACTGTACTTCTCAAATTTTCTTATTTGACACATGCATTCATTTTTCTCTGGAAATGTGCATGAGGATAGGCCTAGGGTGACCCACTAGGACTGAGGAGTTTTCCTGGATGCTGGACTAAAACCAGGACAGTTACAAGTAAATAAGGATGGTTGATCACCTTACTACACCCCATTCTGAGTAATGCCAAGTTGCTTAGTGGTGAGAGTAAATGAGATCTAGAATGGAGAATCACAAACCTAAAACAATCACAGTCAATCACTCTTTAACGATTAAGAGTTTATCTTCTACTTCCCCAGAGAGAAGGGACATTAGTAGGAGCTATCCTGGGGTTGTAATTCACCAGCCCAGGATAGTTAGAATAAGAGGTGTGAGGGAGAAACTGCCCTAAATTGGTTAGGACCTAAGGAGTTTCTTGGCTCCTCACAAGCACAGGGCTTCTGTGCAGCCCTGATTTTCTTCTTTTTTTATTTTTTTTAATCCTCACCCGAGGATATTTTTCTATTTATCTTCAGATAGAATGGGAGGGAGGGTGGGAAGGAGAGAGAGAGAGAGAGAGAAACATCAACGTGAGAGAGACACATCAACTGGTTGCCTCCCGCACAACCCCAAGCAGGGCCATGGACAAACTGCAACTGAGGTACATGCCTTTGACCAGAATTGAACCCGCAATTCATTGGTCTGCAGGCCAGCTTTCTAACTGCTGAGCTAAACCCAGCCAGGGCTGATATTCTTCTTGAGAGCACATGGACCAGAGCTCAGAGCCACCACATGTGTGGCAATGGTGAGAAGCACAAGCAGATTTTCAACAGTTCTTTTCCTATAGTATTCTCCCACAGCAGGGCTGGTTGCTTATTGCCCAAAGCTTAAATCCCCACTAACTACCCTATTCTCCCAGTCCCTTTACCAGTTAGAAAAAACAAAAACAAAAAACTTCATTACTAAGGTTTTCTCATAGTTTTCTTCATTTGAGGGTATCTGACCCTTTGTAACACTTCAGTGGTCTTGGAAGAAGGAGCAATAAAATGCTAGTTCATCGTCTTAATATCACATATTTGTATAGTTTTTTAAAATTTTTATTTTAAAAAAAGTGTCCCCTGGCCATTTTGGCTAAGCAGTTAGAGTGTCGGCCCGCTGACCAATAAGTCTCGGGTTCGATTCCAGTCAAGGGCATGTACTTTGGTTACAGCCCTGGTCAGAGTCATGTGGGAGGCAACCAGTCGATGTGTCTCTCTCACATCGATGTTTCTTTCTCTCTCTCTCCCTCCTTCCCACTCTATCTGAAGAAAAATGGAAAAATATCTTCGGGTGAGAATTAAAAAAATATAAGTGTCTTAGATATATGGAAAAGTGATTTGGTAAAGTATTATAAATATTAGTTACATTATTATGAATAATTTCAAGATGTTCATATGCCTACTATGGCTTAATTTTTTTAAAAATGCTTATATTTATACAGAAAATAGCATTATTTCTACATTTGATCAGAAACCACATAATGTCTGACAAACTTCTAATTTTTATTACAAGTGTTTATTATTGTTGCTATACTATTACATTTGGCATATCTATTTTATTTCTGAAATGTATCATTAATCTATAACTTATTATTCCTTACAACTTTTTTACTAAAAACATTTTTATTAATCCAAATAGGCTTTTATTTTTAATAACAAAAATTTTGTTTAATAAAAAGCTACATATTTAACAGAAAAATTGTTAAAGCTAGAAGTTAAAGGCACTTTGCGGGAGAGTCCTTTTATAATCCAACTGAAAGGAATTCGTTTTACATATCAATAAAACCCAAATTCAGAAAAATTATTTTTATTACTGACAATTTCTGGAAAACAAAGTTGATTATATTTTCCCATTGAGAAGCAATGATAAAATATGGGGTTATATTCCTGTATTCAGCATTCAGCACTGGTCTAATTATCAATATGTCATAAAGGCAAAAAAATAGCTACCCTAAAAATCCATACTAATTTAAAATACTATTCCCGGTTCTATTAAATAGGCATAGATACATGACACATATTAACTACAAAAGGTATTTCATGTACTATTAAATGCACACATAGCAAGACAATGTAATCAGGGACCTGAAACTAAAATACTTACTACCTTTAATATTAAGTCATCTTATCATCTTAGAATTTAGGATGTTGCTAGGGAAATAGATGGCACAAGACTCTTTAAAAGGTCATCCAGATATTTTTAAACTTTTTGATACACATTCCTAAACAAGCAGAGGCATTCAGCTACCTCAGTAAGTCTAGAGATATTTCTTCACAGAAAACATTTTCAAAAGAGTTGATGTAATACATGTCCCATCTTTCCTTCTCAATTTACTGAAAGCTAAAATTGTAAGGGCTGGATCAGACAAAAGGTCATTCTGCCTAGCATTTACTGATCTTGCTATTATTAGTACCTTCTCACTCACAAGTAAACTATAGAAGGAGCTACCTGGTCACTGGCATGAACTTTTTAAAAAGCTTAAAAACACTCTGCATTTATGTTCTGAGTTGGCCAAAAGGAGTGAGGATAAACTTAAAGGTGCTTTTTCTATAAAGAAATTTGACTCAGCTAGATGAAATAAGTCACACAACTGTTTTCCCTTCACTTCCTCAAGGTGGTTTTCTCAACCTGATTTACTGTATTAGTGTCTGACAAGTGGTGTTAGGTTATCTGGAGGTTTGAGGAACCTCCCGTTTATTAACAAGAGCTAATTAAAGAAAAACCTAATTAAGGGAAGCTGGTCACACAAATACCTAGCCGTACAGCTGGAAAAAAAGGACCTAATTCTTCACATTAACACATCATGATGGATATTTTACAGTAGCAATGAAGTCCCAAAGCCTTCCTAACGAGGTTTATGCAGCACCTAAGAACAGTTTCCAATCCTTACTGAATTAGTGATAGTTTAGGAATTACTGTGGATTAAGCCTTGATTTGGTGCTTAGGGAAGGGGTTCTTTCCGTCTTTGGAGTTCTCTGTTGCAGTTGTCGCCTCCCTCGGATTAAGCACTCAGTATACCACTGTTCCCGTTGCAGCTGCTGCTTCTGTTTTTGTAAGAAGCTTTGGGTGGCCTGTACCTCCTGGCACTGCTGGGACTGCTGCACTAACTTCCTCTGTAACTCCTGGTTCTCTGTGAGAAGGTCACGGCAACACTGAAAAGCAAGCTTCTCTGCTGCCACCTCCAAGGCATGGGCCTTCTTTTTCAGCTTCTTTCTTTCGCTCTTTCTCAATTGGCTTACGTCTGGCTCACTCAGTTGCTTCGTCAGTAATGTTTTTTCCTGGAGGTACTGGGCATATACCTTTGCAGTTGTCTCAGCTTGGGCTTTCTTTAGCTCCTCCTGTAATGTCTGCATTTCTCTGTCCTGTTTCTCCTTTACTAGCGAAATGTCCCTCATTGCCCTTAACTGCTGCTTCAAATCAAATTCCTTCTTTTCCTTCTCTAAGAGCTGTTTTTGAAACTCTGAAGTTTGTTTTGCATATTTGGAGGCTAATTCTTGTCTCCTTCGTTGGATTTCCCCACTTTCTTGCGCATAGTTGTCCCACAGCTTGTTAATTTCCCTTCTATACTCTTCAGTTTTGTTGGTCAGGTGGTCCAGCATGAATTTGGTGTCAGCCTGGACATGGAACTTTTCATCGAGTAGCAGCCTGGTTTGCTCCAGTACTGCTTTTTGCTGGATTTGAGTTTCTTTTACTTGTTTGTCCAGCTTCATCACTTCCATTGTCTTTTCCATAAACCACATCGCTGACTTTGTTGGCTTCCCTGGCTTCAAAAATTTACTTATTAAACTAATACATGATGTAGGGGGAATACTGAGGTCCTCAACAAATTTGCTTCCAGAGTCCACGTCTTCATCCCACATCTCACTGAGAGCGACAGATGCCAAGGAGGTGGTGGTAGAGGCCTGCCACTCACGCAGAAGGCGGCTTTGTAAAGAAAGTGTTCGCAATTTCTGGAGTCTGGGCTCGGAGGGAGTCTGCACGGTCCAGCGTGTCCTCGAGTCATAGTGCTGCCCAGTCCTGCCCAGCGTGGACTTGAGCTGTACCCCACTGCCAGCAGGGCTCTTGAGTGGCACCATCATCGTGGACGACGCTTCTGTCCTCTGCGGAGCCTTGGTCCTGGATGGTGCTGTGGTCTTCAGTGGCACCACGGTCCTGGGCGGTTCGGCTTTGGCACTCCGGTCGCCAGAGGCCCTGGTCCCTGGTCCCTGGGTGCCCAAGTTGAAACGCAGGCCCTTTTTCCTGAGGCGGAGGCAATACCCCAGGGTGCTTCTATAGCCTGGCAGTCCCATAGAACGGGGTCCCTGTGTCTTCAGGGCGGTCCCTACCACTCTAAGTTCACCCTCCCCTGCCCACCTGCGGTCCTGGTCCCAGTGCCGCCAGCTCCCCGCCATCTTCCAGGGTTGGCTCCCTGGTGAGGCAGGCACAAGAAGATGCTCAGACATCCCCTCCCTCTCCCCTCTCTAGCTGGGCTAAAGCCGGTTGGAGCCTGTTCTACTCTTTCACAGCCTGGAATGGAATGTGGAACTGGAATGTTGGCGGTTCCCTAGCCACCCTTCCTTGGTGACCAGAAGGAGGGACAGGGCCAGCTGAGTGCGTGGGACGTGGGTAGGGGGGGGGGGGGGGGGGTTGGCCCCAGTATGTCTGTTGGAGTTAGGGATATTTTTCTTGGGGAGAAAAAAAATCTGAAGTTCCTATATGGTGGGCCGGTAGAACTCTGCTGCTTCTCGGTGTTTTCTGTTTCTTGAGTTTTTCTGTCCACGTGTGAGGGTGTGAGGGAGTGCCAATGATTTATCTTGTCTGAAGCCCTCCCTCTGGTATTTGTAATAAGGCTGTCAATTACCACGGAGTTTCAGGAAGTTTCATTTCAGTTGTCACAACAGCACCTGCACAAGATTTTGTGTATGAGAAAGACTTGGCACATTCTTGCTTCCTGTCTTGGCCTTCATAGACAGTGAGTGGCCTCTTAGTTTCACAGCACTGACCAGGGATGTTGCAGTCTTTGTCCTGGTGGCCCCCGCCTCCTCTGCATGGTTCTCCTCTCCACTCAGCTTGTGACACCACAAGCGAGGTGACCCAGATCTCTGGCAGGGCAGGAGAAAAGCCCAAGGCCAGGGGCTGAAGGAAGGCAGTGCACCAGGAAAACCCTCAGCCCCAAGAAGCCTGAGCCTCCTCCAGGAGGGGACTGGTGGCCTAGTGGACTGTGCCTCCCTGGGCCTCGGGCCCTCACAGGATGCTCTCCTTTGAGGTGTCCAAGGGCTACAAGCTGAAGCTCTTTCCACTGACTCCAGCAGGGTATTCACATGGGTGAACAGGTGTGAGCTGTGCCTAAAAGATTTTTCTTTGGCAAGGTTTAAAAAAAGTATTCCAGGGAAAGCATTTTAAATTACATTATTTACCAAAAAGACTATCTTTATATATTACTGGTCTATTGAAATTTTTCTTTTCAATCAAATTCTATTCATTTTTACATAATGCATGTCAATAACAGCTACCATGCAAAAATAACCATAAGCAAAACTCATTTTCCTGCCTGTCTTCATTTTTGCTACTCCTCATATCTTCCTACTTCTATTTGGGAAAGCTTGAATCCCTCCTACTTAATCCATTCAAGTCCATAATTATAATTGTTTCATGATACCCACATTATAAATTATTCATTATTTTGAATCATGCCTTAATTTCAAATATACTCTTGTACACTTTCTACTTTTTCTTCTGTATTATTTTTCCCTATATTATTATAGCTTTCATAATCTTGTTTTAAGACTTCTGGCTTCTGATTTTTTTTTTTTTCCCTGATAGTTGTCCCTAGAATGGCACTGGTACAGGGAATTAAAGAATCAAGTGATTCTGCATTTCCATTATTTCACTCCTATTCAGTCCTGCTTTCTTCCTTTGCTCTTTTGGTTCACTTCCTTCTGCCCCATCTAGCCTATTCTATGGCCACATTCTTTAAAACATGGCTCCATAGTAATTTCCTTCAGACAGCTTTACTTGACTAAACCACTCCTGTTTACTCCCTGCATTCCTTGCCTCTAGTAATTTATGTATAATCGACATATAATATTATCATGTACTTGGTGTGTGTTTTTGTAATTTTTATTCAGTTATTTAGTTACATATTTTATAATATTTTATTTATATTACAGTTTATTATACGCCCTTCTAATCTCTAATTTTTCTTTCTTATTAGCATTAGTTACAGCTGTTATTATATAATGTAAATGTGAATTCAGTTGCTTAATGTCTGTGTCTTCTGTTTATAAATGTCTGCCTCCTCTTAGAATGCAAGGACTTTTGGCCAATTGTATTTGGTTGTATCCTCAGAGCCTAGAATAATATACATAGTAAGTGTTGAATAAATATTACAATGTATTTGAAATGCCATTCAGGATATTAGGACAATGAAAGTGCTCATAAATGCTTTCTGATATTTTTAAAACAACATTTTTAAATCTCTCACACTTTTTGTAACAGTTGGAATGTATTTAACTGCAAGATGCTGAAAACCTAATGGACTTAAACCAAAAGTCTAAACAGACTAGCTATTTACTTAGTCATAGTCCAAAAGTGAGCATTTCTAGTTTGATTTGACAGTTCATGTTGTTACCCAGGACCTGTGTTCTTCCCACCCTTCTCCTTAGCCATCTAAAGCTTGTTGTTTTTCAGTGTCAGCCATAAAGCATCACAGTCCAAAGACGATGACCACATTCTCATACTTCAAAGTACAAAGAAGAAAATAAGAGAAGTGATGTAAAAAAAAAAAAAAAAAAAGGGAATATTTACTCACTCTTCTCAGAATCCCAGATATCCCCTAGCCCCAACAGCCTCCCCCTGGTTCCAATGGCAAGAATCGAGTCAAGTGCCTGCTTTTGGACTAACTGTGGGCAGAGAGGAAAGCACTGCCATTAGTGATCAGTTCTGATTCACCCCCCGCCCACCCCGCAAAGGAACGGGAAACTGCTGGGTATGCAAGCAACACTGTGCCCACTCTTCTGCTATGTTACATGAGCCACACTAAAGCTCTGTTTTCTTCAGAACCTTCAAGCTTTCAAGATTCTTCAGCCCTTTTCTTTTTTCTCCTCATATTTTAATCAATAAGCCTTTTCCTTCAGAAAAAAAATATATATTTTCTGCTTCAAACTGCCTATTAAAACATTTACTTTGTAAACTAAAGGTTTTCTTTTATTGACTTTTTACATACTCACTTACTTTCTGCATTCTAATTCTTTTTCTTTGCAAATGTCCTGAGACATACCACATTTTCAAAAAGGAAACACTTATTTTGTCACTTCCTTTCCACTCTTCATATATATCTGTTTCTGAACTGTATTAGGAAACTCAGAGACCAAGAAAATGTTTTCTGTTCTCTTTATAATCGCCAGCAGCATTTCATATGTGTTAAATGTACTTGACTTGTCCTTTCCCTTTATGGTTAATCACAGATATGTAGGCTTTAATAGGAAGCAACAGGAAACAGAATTTTATAGCCAAGAAGCACTGGCCATATTATAAACACCATATACCAATTTGTATTTATAAAATTATTTGCATAGTTGCTTCTTGCTGTCATTAGAACATCCCAGAACACAGTGTATTTGATTCCACCTTTTCTAACATCTTTCACAGAAACAAAGAAAGGAGCTGGGTTTCCATGGTAACACCAGTGTGACAGTTAAGGGTATCTGGGCATAAGTGAAATAACTCTCAGATTCAGTGGTGAGAGGAGAAATAAAGTTTTTTTCTCCCATCAATGCACTTCAGAAGCTAAAGAGACCCCAAAGTTTCACTACAGTGTTAAGTTTTCACTATCATACAGATTTACAGTTCTTGGGGAAAATTCCATTTCATTTTTACTTTGACTTTCTCATAAACAAATGAATGGACACACAAGTGTTTAACTCTAAAGTCACTCTCAGAAAAGATCATTTATGCTAGGAATGATTAGCGATCAGGAGACAGACACCCAAATCTTCAAAATTCTCTGCATGTGCTGACTTCCTTTCTTATTGCAGCTAATCCTTCAACCAGCATTTCACATACAGACTCAAATCAAGTACCACCATACAAAACAGGTGAAAAAATATTCTTCTATGTATGTGTCTTTTGCTTCTTAGTGATTAAAAATTCACTTTTAGGGCTGTGTTGTGAATGAAAATTGAGGCCTGTCAATATTAGATATATGAGGTGCGCCTTGGCCAATTTGGCTCTGCAGTTGGAGCGTCTGCCCTCGGACAGTTTCGAGTTTGATTCCGGTCAAGGGCACGTACCTTGGTTGTGGTTCGATCCCCGGCCCTGTGATTGGGGTTGTGCAGGAGGAAACAAGTCGATGTGTCTCTCTCACATCGATGTTTCTCTTTCTCTCACTCTCCTTCCCATTGTATCTGAAAATAAATGGAAAAATATATCCTCAGGTGAGGATTGGAAAAAAAAAAAAAAGATATATGAGGTGCAACTCTCCTAAGACCTTTAGTCTCTACACACTTCTTATCAAGAAAGTCAGCACTGATGAAAGGTCAGGGAAGACAGGCTGAGAAATGTCAAAAGGCTCTCTTACACTCTATTATGCTAAGTGGAGTGACTAGGAAGCCAACTCACTCTGTGTGTGTGTGTGTGTGTGTGTGTGTGTGTGTGACAACTTCTATCAGAAGCATTATAATCCAGAGCTTCTCAACTTCTAGGAACCTAGAAAACGAAACCAATTGCTTAAGGCTACATTCTGGGCCCAGAATCCCAATGCAAATTTCTAAAATAAAACAAAAGTCACTGGACCTCTATTCCTTGCAAAGTGAAAGATTTTTCAGCTCCAGTGTAATGCAAGGTACTATACAGGAACTAAGCAGAAAGTCTGATGCTTCTTAACTCTCTTTAACCCCCCAACAAGCCTAGGAAGTTCTTATCACCACAATACATAATTTCAATCTTAAAAGAGACAGCGTGTCTTTTTTCTGAAAGAAGTGTAGCTGTCACTTAGCTAAAGTAACCACAAATAAGCATACACGTTTTGCACAAAATGTGGGACTTCTAAAGTCCTAAGTGAACACTGTGTTCTTCTACAACATCCTCTTGAAATATCCCTGCCAAGAAAGCTCAGATATAAAGCCTTATTTCATATCTATGTGAACTCTCTTAATTTTAATTCACTTATTCACATTCCTAGATTAGAATAAGATATCAGATCCTCTTTGGTTTCAATTATATGAAAACATTCCAGATTCTTAGTTCTTTTGAAAATTACCTTCACTGCTAATTCTGGAAGCTCAGATATAACCTTTCATACATGATATGCAATCAAGAAATAATGACTGAGTTATATTTTAGTACATATTTTGACAAGACACTTGTCAGCCATCATTTTAAATAAAAAGTTGATGGGTTATACTATAGCAAG